TCGCTCGACTCTAGGCCGGGTTTATTTGCAAAATGCCGAGAGAGAGAAAGGTTGGCTCACCGTATTATATATATATATATATATCCCAAACACTTGGGTTTTAATTATTCTATTTTCCACTCCACTCTCGTCGTTTTGTTCTTTTAGTTTCGTTTACGTGGCCCTTGGCTCTCTTCATTGTTCTTCGCCTGTGGTCTGAACGAAAGACGACCAAAGGAAGTATCGCCACCCGGCTGCCCGCTATTTTTAACCTTTCTCTCTTCCGTGGAATGTATTTTGTCGCGTTAATCAGAGCGCCGGGGAAACGATAACACTTTTAATTAGTATTCGTTCGAACCGCACGATAAATCCACTTCATTTTCTCGCGCGTATATGTGTATATATATATAAATATATATATGTATATACATTTATCCGTTTGTTTCGTCACTCGATAGCGAGCGTGAAACGGGACATTGATCGAAGTCAAGAATACCCCGTTTTAATTGGGGAAGATAATTTCAATTGAACACGTTTTAACAACGTCGTCTCGTCATCTCTCGTTTCTTTCGTTGGTTAGATTAGACAAGCGAGTTTGCCAACGGTTGATAACATTAACAGAAACGCGCGTGAAAAATTAAAGCTGTTAAATTATAGAACGAATACGGATGATTCGATTGTTTCTCTCCCTGTTTTTTTTTTCTTTTTTTTTTCTTTTTTTTTTTTTTTACTACGCTTCACACGCGAACGATAAACAATACGAAGCGCGAATTAAAAGTAAACGCGACGATGCAAAGGTAAAGATTATTATTTTCAAAACACGTTCGTCGCGTAAATAAAAAAATTATTATACGATGCAACAAATTCATTCCCCTCCCCCATTTTATCGTTCAAACTTTCTTTCGCTTTTCCCGATCGAAATAAACTATTACACACACGCATAATAATCCTTCCCCCCGCTACAGTTTTCCCGCTATAGATTATCAAAGTACGCCTAGTCGTTTTGTGGTCTGGTTCCAGGTGCTTTTATAATTCCGTTCGTTTTAATGCTGATAACCATGGGATTACCGATATTTTTTTTGGAACTGGCTGTTGGACAGTATTCCGGACTCGGCCCTAACGAGGCGTTCAAACGTATGGCGCCGGCACTCGAGGGCCTCGGTTATTGCACCCTGGTCGTCATTTTGCTCGTAATGGTCTACTACATGGTGATCGTTGCCTGGACACTCTTCTACACGTTCCTCTCGTTCCTGCCGAAGCTCAGTTGGGCCTACTGCGACAACGATTTCAACACGAACCGTAAGTACACCGATAAAATAACAAACCGGCCATCACCTTTCTCCCGTGTGTTAAATTTTAGAAAACGCCCCCCCCTCCCCTCCCCTCCACCCGCGCGGCTCCCGTTCAACTTGTTATTTAGCGTAACGTAGCGTAACCGCGCCATACGCGTATTTTATCGCCCCCATAAAGCCCCAAGTGGTCGTAGAACCGTTTTAAACGATCGAATGACGAACGGCTCGTTCCTTCGAAATTCAATTTCTCCACGCTCCGCGCGCGGAACACGGAGAAAATATTCTCCTCGCTACCCTTCCCTTCCCTTCCCTTCCCTTCCCTTCCCTTCCCTTCGTATCGTTGCGCGCCGCTTTACGTCTCTCCTTTCCCGTTGCGCTCGTGACGATTTATCGCGATACCGACCATTTTTCCCCCTCCCTCCCATAAACGCTAATAACGATCCTCAAATTTTACACTCAACCTTTTCTCTTCGAAAAATTTTTCTTTTTCGCGCGAATCGATCGGTGCTTTGATCGACGATGATCGACTCCTCGTCGATTCGGTTTCGGATAAACGGAGGGGAGGGGAGGAGGAGGGAAAATATATCGAAATACAGAAATTTCAACAGCAACGGGTATAATAATATTTGCGCCGAATTATCACTTCCTTCTTCCATTGATTTCCGAAATTATTTCGTGTATACCGTGATAATATAATCCATTACCAGGTATTAAATTCCAACGATACAGAGGGGGAGGAGGGGAGAAAATAAATAAACACACGGGAGGGGGGAATTAACGATTATGAATTTCGGATTTTCGGAATTGCGAGAACGTAACAACAACAACGACAATAACAACAGAGAACGAGCAGAGAAACGATCAATTTTTACTTAAACGCGTGATATTATTGAGAATAATATTCTAAAAAAAGAGATATCTAATTTCGATTCATTTTTTTCACGACAATCAAATTGATTTTTTTATCTGTTATTTAATTATCGAACTCGACTCATCGTGTATCAAAAATTTTGTATCCATTTTTTTTCTTCCTTTATTTTTTTTTTTCTTTTTTTTCTTTTTTTCCGATCCAAGGTAACGTACTTTTTCAAATGATTTTATTTTTTTCCCCTCCCGAACAATTTCCATTGCATTTAAAAATTTCCATCTCCGAACCACGAAAAATACGAAATTTCCGCCCGTGACTATGACTATTTCTAGAAATAACGATGGGATCGCGATCGGTGGGAAACTAGGATTGATCAAAAAATTTCTCCGCTAAATTGTTTCGACAGTTTTAATTGTTGAACTTTGAATTAAAAACTCTTCCCGGTTGTGTTATACAATCAAAATTCGAGATCTATCGATATCCGGTATCAACGCTCATTTCCCATTCGTGTACAAATGACGTTTGTTCCACCATTTTGTGAAATCGAATATTTAGAAGAGAAGAAATTAATCCTCAAAGTTTCAAAGTATATAAATTATTGCGTTCCTTTGTATTTGTATACACACGCGATACACGCACGTGATTCGTTATTTAAGAGAATGAAAAAAAAAAGAAATCTTCTTACGATACAGTAAAGCCGAGCCGTTTATTTTTTAATTTATTACAACTTTCATCGGCAGACGACCATCGACGCGACCACTGACCGCCGACCACCTATCATCTACATCAATACAGGTATCGTTGTAAAGAATCCATTTTTATCACGAATGGACGATTCGACACTTTTCCGATCGCATCGAAATAATCGTTTCTATGATTCTTTGACGTGGATTTTTTCACATTAGATTAGTATTCTTCTTTTACTTTTTTTTTTTTTCCACTTTGTCTAGCTTGTCTGCTTCTGATTTCGTAAATTATCGTGTTTTTTTTATTTTCTTTATGTAACGCGAAATTTCCACCAAATTGGACGTAATAAATCACTAATTGAAGAAATTGAGAGAGAGAGAGAGAGTAACAACAATATCATTGTTTCGAAATGGAAGCACCGCATTGCGGTCAACATTGTCGCGCTATAAATTTGAAATCATTTTATCGTTGTATAGAATGGATAGGAAAATGTAAATTATTGTATAGTTTGCTAGGATGCAAAATCATAAAATAATTATAATATTTAAATTAACGTTCGAATGTAATCGTATAGATATTTCTGATATAATAGGCTGAACCACAATTATTTTTCCCGTTAACGAACCTTAAGTTTTTTCCCGTTCATAAATTTCGCGAGTTACGTATTCGCATACGCGCAGCAAAAATTTAACGCGTCTATTGTACCGTTAATCGTTCCAAAAACCTTTTTCGAATTATTTTCGTAAATTGCAATTATAATGCATAAATGGATGACATCCGGAAACTTAGCCGTTAAGATCAATAAAGGTCAATTTATACGGGAATGGTACGGGTTTGGTCACGATCCCAGCCGAATTACAGCTACTGTTTCACTATTACGTATAGAGCCGAAAAGCCTATATATCGACAAGCCTCTCTCGGGTATCGCGTTACGATGTATAATTCCATGCCAAGCTCGACATCGGTGAATCTCGTTGATAACTCGTTGAAAGCTCGTCAAATCTTTGGTTCAAGTCGATTTTCGTTTCGTGCTTGTTTCCCCAATTCGTTTCGGTAATAAACTTCGCGTCAAAATCCTGGAAAACTTATAGAATATTAATTTGGATAGTCGATATATTAATTTTCCAGCACATTCTCTACGTCTCTACTTCACCATAAGTCGGTAAGTCGTTTACTCGCGTTACTCTTTCAACGCGTGTCGTCGAATGAACGATCGTGGTATTCTCTCGACCATCGAGGCTCGAAAACCGAAAATCCCTGCGGTAGAGATAAAATAAATAAATAAATAAATTGCTCTTTAATAATAAATACGGAGGAGAGGAACAAAGCGGTAGCGTAATTGTCTCTGGTCGATCGAGGTAACGAAGTAGCAGCGTGGATATACTACACGCGTATATACATAGGTGTGCGTCCGCCGGTATGTGTATGTTTATGTGTATATGTGTATATACGCGTATATATCGAGGTCGCAATATCGAGCCATACGTTGGGTCCCTACGACGCATCGTATTCTGTAAACGACAGCTATTTCGTTTCAATCAGCGATAGCCTTTGAAAGCCTTTGATGTTTCCTAATTATCGTACAACGATATTGGATATGGGGCATAAAGCCGTAATGCCGACTCGCGTAGATTGTTACAGCGGGCTTCAAGAGATTCAATGTCAAACGGACGATCCGGAAACGATATTTTACAACAAGAGTTGTATATCGGCCAGCCACGTATGCCGGAGCTTCGATTTCGAGGATGGGAACATCACGCATTGTTTCAAAGCTGGCAAAGTGGAACTCCTTCGAAACCTTTACACACGGATCCTTTCGTCGGAGGAATATTTCAAGTATGTCGTCGTATATTCTATCTAATATAATCGTAATGAATTTTAAACGTTCCAAACTATTCTTTCCTTTCTCGTTTATACACGTTTATGTGTTTCGCGTCTCTACGTGTATAACCTTAAATTTTTTCGTTCGGTCTAGTGAAAATTGCTAATACTTAAGAAAAAAAAAAATGTGTAATAGATATTATCGAATCTAGCGACTATGTGCTTGGTATACGAGGAGCTACGTGGGAACACTTCGGAGGCGTGAGATGGGAATTGTTAGGATGTCTGACCCTCGCTTGGATAATCTGCTTCTTGTGTTTGATGCGTGGCGTCCAATCCATTGGAAAAATCGTTTACTTCACCGCTCTTTTCCCCTACGCCATGCTTATAGCGTTGTTGATACGAGGTAAGAACGAATACCGATAAAATAATATTTCTCGTCGAATTCCACGCGTTATAATTTTTTTTTTTTTTAACCTCGAATCAAAAAAGAGAGATCCGCGAAAAAAATTATTCGATTTATTCGAAATAACGAAGAAGAGGAATAAACGTGTATATATATATATATATAGTTATAAAAATAATAACGGAACGGAAACGTGTAATCACAGTTTGGAATAATACAAACGATTATTTGGAAACGTGTTATTAATTTATAAATCGTTGGAAAACAGTTGTTCTTCAATTATCGGACATATTCATTAAGCGCGTAATAAATAACTATTCGACGAATCGGAATATTACAGTCGATGAATTGTCATTGAATTAAAAATATATTAATTGTTAACGTACGGGAGCGATGCGACGAACGATATCACGTATTTCCCGTATACGCGAAGATTTATAATTAAAATTCTTCGACACGATAATTGACAATTTATGAATATTAAAAATACGTTGATAACGTTAAACGAGATATATTTTCACACGGCATTAAACTTGCAACGCTAAATTAAAAATCAAAGTTAGAAACTTTTCGGTATTACATCCCGATATGTTGTATCGAAACAACGGTAAATAGATGTGGAATTCGCAAATTAACGATCGATCAATAAACATTAATTAGCGTGACTCCCGCGAACGCGAAAACTAATGTTAACGTTCGCGGAATCGAATTCGTCGCGAATTCGTTATCTATCCTATTATTTACGTCGAATTTTAATTAATTCGAAATTCCCCTCTCGACTTTGCGAAATTCGCTGCTCGTCCTTACGAGCGAATAAAATATATATATATATATACTCATCCAGTGAAAGATATGCCGCGAAGAAAAAAAAGAAAAGGGGCGTTGAAATTAATCGCGTATTTACATTTGTTATCTTGGTAATCGTAAAAGAAAAAAAAAGAAAAAAGAAAAAAAACCGAGTAAATAAGTTAAACATCTATCTCGCCTATCTCTCTCGCGTCCTGTAATGTAAAATTCATTACTCGCTTCTCTGGTATTTCTGGCGTGCACTCAATATTCAACTTCTAACTTTATAAAGCATTTACTCGTGAAACTTTGTATACATACGACATTTTTTCCCCCCTTATTTCAACTTTAAAATTATAACGCTTCGAAATATTAAAAATTATATATATATATATAATTATATATATTGTGAATATCGTTTAAACGTATATACAGATTATCGAGGTTAAATATTATAGAGGCAAGATTGTATTATACGCGACAAGTGTCCTGCGACCGAGGCGATCCTATTTCCCTTACGTTTTTCATTTTCGCGTATTAACGTTTTTCTCGTGTCTCGAATTTATCGAATTATAAGAATTGCACGGATCGAAGTAATTTTTTAACGAGTTTTAACGAACGAATAATAATAATAATAATAATAATTTATTTATAATAATTACTTGATAATAAAAACAGGTGTTACGTTGGAAGGTGCCCTCGATGGCTCTCTTTGGTTCATCATGCCAAAATGGTCCACCTTGCAATCAACCGGTGTCTGGGCGGATGCTGCTTCCCAAGTTTTCTATTCCCTCGGTATCGGTTGCGGTTCCCTGATCACCCTCTCGAGCTACAGTAACTTCAACAATAATTGTCACAGGTACAAAAAAAAAAAAAAAAGAAAAAAAAACCCGTAAACATCACAAATCCTCAGACAGAGATAAAAATTCGATCAGGATCTGTATCACATACCATATCCCGATAAAAAAAAAAAAATTGCAAGGCCGTCCAATTAAATTCTTCCGCCCAATTAACATATCCGCTTAAAATATAACCGATAAGCATTTTTCGTTCTCGGCTCGAACTTTCGGCTTCGACGACCTCCCTGTATTCCTCCCGAATATTCCCGAAAATTAACGTCGCAAAAGGGAGGGGGGGAAATGAAGAGAACGAAAGGCGAACGAATTTCGAGATATCCGCTAGACCAAGCTTGCCGGCGATGGAATAATTGGTGGACGCGGTCTGGCGTCGCGAAAGTCCGCGCGCTG